AGGACAGTGTGTATTGGGTGAGGACAGTGTGTATTGGGTGAGGACAGTATGTATTGGGTGAGGACAGTGTGTATTGGGTGAGGACAGTATGTATTGGGTGAGGACAGTGTGTATTGGGTGAGGACAGTGTGTATTGGGTGAGGACAATGTGTATTGGGTGAGGACAATGTGTATTGGGTGAGGACAATGTGTACTGGGTGAGGACAATGTGTACTGGGTGAGGACAATGTGTATTGGGTGAGGACAATGTGTATTGGGTGAGGACAGTGTGTATTGGGTGAGGACAATGTGTATTGGGTGAGGACAATGTGTATTGGGTGAGGACAATGTGTATGGGCCAACGAGACGACAGCGAGAGCTTTGTCTCCCCTGCAGCAAGCAGTAGGGCCGGCCCGCGGGGGCGTTGACCCCCGAAATCCTCTCCAGGTATACTCCAGGTAACTACACACACAGTACTAATTGAAGGACATCTTTATCGAATACGTTTCGGCAGTGGGACAAACCACGGAACGGGAGGGATTTAAACCCATGGCAAGTCGATCCTTGATCATAACATATGTAATAAATATATCCAGAGTATCTACACGTGTGTTCTTTCATGCGTATGAGAGGAGGCGGGCCAGGAGCAATGAATCAACCCCTGCAACCACAATTAGGCGAGTATATTCCCTGATTATCAAAAAAAATATTACGTTCGCTCTGAGAGTACTCAACCCACACAGCTCCCGGGAATGGGAGGAAATTAAATTTGATCCGATGAAGGAGAAGGCAGCTCTAATTCCATGCACCTAGAGCTGTTCACCAGCATCAAACCACCTTCCTCCAGAATATATATATATATATATATATATATATATATATATATATATTATATATATTATATATATATATATATATATATATATATATATATTATATATATATATATTTATATATGTGTGTGTGTGTGTGTGTGTGTGTGTGTCTAAGAATTGGTGTCGAGGCATCTTGCTTCACGTTGTCATTCTTTTACACGCTTCTTGTTCCTCTTCCACAAATGAGAAACATGTCTTGGACATGCCAAGTGTCAGAACTTTGTGTATCGTGGTGACAACCACATATATCAAGAGAACCGAACCATAAACCAGTGGAGATGGCACCACCCGAGACAAATGTCTGTCTCCAGGCACCTACACTCGTCTTATTTTTGTCTAATTATTTTTTTTCCTTTGGTTGCTTAGGCCTATATATTATAGTTAAATCAATCTATTGTTCCTACTTCTCAGTCTTATAGTTCCTTTTCTTTGGCACTTGGGTGTCCCATAGCTCGATTGGTAGCGCACTCAGCTCACACACTGATGTCTGGGGGTTGATCCCTGGTACGGGTGGAAACATTAGGACGTGTTTCTTTAAGGTACCTGCTGTCCATGTTCACCTAGCAGTAAGTAGGTACCAGAGTGTTAGTGGACTGGTGTGGGTCGCATCCTGGGACAAAACTGACCTAATTTACCCGAAATGCTCTACATAACAATGGACTTTCTATATTATTATTATTATTATTATTATTATTATTATTATTATTATTATTATTATTATTATTATTAAAAATACATTATTATTATTATTATTATTATTATTATTATTATTATTATTATTATTATTATTATTATTATTATTATTATTAAAATACATTATATTATTATATATTATTATTATTATTATTATTATTATTAAAAATACATTATTATTATTATTATTATTATTATTATTATTATTATTATTATTAAAAATACATTATTATTATTATTATTATTATTATTATTATTAAAAATACATTATTATTATTATTATTATTATTATTATTATTTATTATTATTATTAAAAATACATTATTATTATTATTATTATTATTATTATTATTATTATTATTATTATTAAAAATACATTATTATTATTATTATTATTATTATTATTATTATTTTATTATTATTATTATTATTATTATTATTATTAAAAATACATTATTATTATTATTTATTATTATTATTATTATTATTATTATTATTATTATTATTAAAAATACATTAGATTCTCAGCAATACGAAAAAATTATAAAATATAATAAGCTCCATGGGTTAATCTTAAGCTTCTCTAAAAAAAATTCATAAATGTGGGAAGAGAAATAAATTTCCTGTCTCCTCTGTAAATTCCCCTCAGGGAAGGTTCCTTGATGTTGGTGAGGGGCTCTTGATTTAGGGAATTGGATCTGTGCTCCAGTTCCCCGAATTAAGCCTGAATGCCTTCCACATCCCCCCCCCAGGCGATGTATAATCCTACGGGTTTAGCGCTTCCCCTTGATTATAATAATAATCCTCTGTAAATTACTCAAATAAGTATCTTTTTTTTTAAATATTTCATATATAAATACCTGAAAAATATCTAACTGGTTGTTAGATGTTTTTATTAGATATACAATGGCGTTCCAAAATAGTATTTTGTTTTTTAGTTTAATGTATTTATGACCCCATACCCATTCTGGATACCTAGAGAGGGTTTCGGGGGTCAACACCCCCGCAGCCTCATGTATGGTCAACCAGGCTGTTACTGTTGACCGCACGCAACCCGACATACGAGCCGCAACCTGGCTGGTCAGGTACCGACTTTAGGTGCCTGTCCAGTTCCTGCTTGAAGACAGCCAGGGGTCTATTGGTAATCCCCCTTATATATGCTGGGAGGCAACTGAACAGTCTTGGGCCCCTGACACTTATTGTGTTGTCTCTTATCGTGCTAGTGGCACTCCTGCTTTTCATTACCTGGAGTTTACCTGGAGAAAGTTCCGGGGGTCAACGCCCCCTCGGCCCGGTCTGTGACCAGGCCTCATGGTGGATCAGAGCCTGATCAACCAGGCTGTTACTGCTGACTGCACGCAAACCAACGTACAAGCCACAGCCCGGCTGGTCAGGAACCGACTTTAGGTGCTTGTCCAGTGCCAGCTTGAAGACTGCCAGAGGTCTGTTGGTAATCCCCCTTATGTATGCTGGGAGGCAGTTGAACAGTTTCGGGCCCCTGACACTTATTGTATGGTCACTTAACGTGCTAGTGACACCCCTACTTTTCATTGGGGGGATGTTGCATCGTCTGCCGAGTCTTTTGCTTTCATAGTGAGTGATTTTCGTGTGTAAATGTGGTACTAATCCCTCTTGGATTTTCCAAATGTATATAATTATATATCTCTCTCGCCTGCATTCTAGGGAGTACAGGTTGAGAAACTTCAAGCGTTCCCAGTAGCTGAGGTGTTTTATCGCAGTTACGTGTGATGTGAAGGTTCTCTGTACATTTTCTAGGTCAGCAATTTCACCTGCCTTGAAAGGTGCTGTTAGTGTGCAGCAATATTCCAGCCTAGATAGAACAAGCGACCTGAAGAGTGTCATCATGGGCTTGGCATCCCTAGTTTTGAAAGTTCTCATTATCCATCCTGTCATTTTTTTTAACAGATGCGGTAGATACATTATTGTGGTCTTTGAAGGTGAGATCCTCTGACATTATCACTCCCAGGTCCTTCACATTACTTTTTCGCTCCATTGTGTGGTTAGAATTTGTTGTATACCCTGATACAGTTTTAATTTCCTCACGTTTTCCATATCGGAGTAATTGAAATTTCTCATCATTGAATTTCATATTGTTTTCTGCGGCCCATTTAAAGATTTGGTTGATGTCATGCAAACTCGGGTGTCATCTGCAAAGGAAGACACAGTGCTGTGGTTTACACCCCTGTCTATGTCAGATACGAGGATGAGGAACAGGGTGGGGACTTGTGGCGGTAGTCAAAAGATTACAGAGGTACATAATAGGGTCAGGGACTGGGCCCCAAAAAATGTCAGACGAAGTGACTTATTTCCATATGGTTGGATGTGATTAGACGTCCCTAGCATGGCCCAGTAGACCTACTGCAGTGTTGGGTGTGAGTTAGACCTGTCTAGCATAGCCCAGTAGACCTATTGCAGTGTTGGGTGTGAGTTAGACCTGCCTAGCATAGCCCAGTAGACTTATTGCAGTGTTGGGTGTGAGTTAGACTTGCCTAGCATAGCCCAGTAGATCTACTGCAGTGTTGGGTGTGAGTTAGACCTGCCTAGCATAGCCCAGTAGACTTATTGCAGTGTTGGGTGTGAGTTAGACTTGCCTAGCATAGCCCAGTAGATCTACTGCAGTGTTGGGTGTGAGTTAGACCTACCTAGCACAGCTCAATAGACCTATTGCAGTGTTGGAGTGAGCTAGACTTGCCTAGAATGGCCCAGTAGACCTACTGCAGTGTTGGGTGTGAGTTAGACCTGCCTAGCATAGCCCAGTAGACCTATTGCAGTGTTGGGTTAGACGAAGTGACTTATTTCCATATGGTTGGATGTGATTAGACGTCCCTAGCATGGCCCAGTAAACCTACTGCAGTGTTGGGTGTGAGTTAGACCTGTCTAGCATAGCCCAGTAGACCTATTGCAGTGTTGGGTGTGAGTTAGACCTGTCTAGCATAGCCCAGTAGACCTATTGCAGTGTTGGGTGTGAGTTAGACCTGCCTAGCATAGCCCAGTAGACATACTGTAGTGTAAGTAAATTTATTTAGGTACAGGCACACACAAATACAGTTACAAGAATTATAATACATGATAACGTGTGTAAATTACCTAGATAAGAGATAACACTTAAGAGATAGCATAACCCAGAAAAAGGTTAGTGACTTATTTCCACTGAGTTCCTTCATTTTAATAAGTAATTAAGTTCACTCAGGTACAGGTATACATAAATACAATTACACAAATTATAATACATACCAATATACATATAAATTACTTATGATAACCCAAAAAAGGCCAAAGTAACTTATTACCATTATTCTCCTTCAATTATAACATTCCAGCCTCCTTAACATACAATTTACAAACAATACTAAATATTTAACAAGCCAAGGCATAAATCACACAGGTATAATATGATATTTTCCCAAATTTAGTGGATAATAAGTCATGGAGGAAGAACCAAGAAGTTGAGTGTGAGAGAAGACAACAAAGATGGCGGACAAGAAGCAGCAGGCGGCGCCCACCACCAAGATCCTCACTAAAAGTGAAGGTGAGGAGATTGTGCAGAAGTTCCAGCAGATGAGAAATGAGCAGAGATCATTGATGGCCAAGATCAGTGAGCTGGAGCAGGATCTTAATGAACACAAGTGAGTAGAACAGCAGGAGAACACCAGCAGGGGAACACACCCACGGGAAATCAAGTCATTTTGACCTTTTATACGGGGTTAATCTAGGTAATTTATACATATATTACGATGTATAATAATTTGTGTAACTGTATTTGTGTTGCTGTGCCTAAATATGTTTCTTTACAATGGAACACCAATGGAAATAAGTCATTTGGTCTGACCTTTTTTTTTTTTTTTTTTTTTGGTTATCCTGGGTAATTTATGTATATTATTATTATTATAATAAAAAAGAAGCGCTAAGCCACAAGGGCTATACAGCAATTTATGTATAATAATTGTACTTATGTGTGTTGTGTCTAAATTAACTTATTTATTTATTTAGCATGTTGCTTCACCTGACCTTCATAATGCAAATAACTCCTGACCTTTTTTTTGTATTTTCCATAATTTACAAACGTTATTATGTATGATAGTTGTAAATCATCTAGATTTGTGTATATGTAAATGAATTAACTTGTTTGTGCCACCTGTCAGTGACTGTGATTGGTGTGGTCTTGGCAGGGCCCGGCATGGTCTTGGCAGGGCCCGGCATGGTCTTGGCAGGGCCCGGCATGGTCTTGGCAGGGCCCGGCATGGTCTTGGCAGGGCCCGGCATGGTCTTGGCAGGGCCCGGCTGGTCTTGGCAGGGCCTGGCATGGTTTGGCAGGGGGCCGGCATGGTCCTTGGCAGGGCCCGGCGGCGGCCGTGGCAGGGCCCGGCGCGGCCGTGGCAGGGCCCGGCGCGGCCGTGGCAGGGCGCGGCCGTGGCAGGGCCCGGCGCGGCCGTGGCAGGGCCCGGCGCGGCCTTGGCAGGGCCCGGCGCGGCCTTGGCAGGCCGCGCGTTGCTAGTGGCTAAGGGACCTGGCGCGGACGTTGACAGGGCCCGGCGCGGCCGTGGCAGGGCCCGGCTCGGCCGTGGCTAGGGCTCGGCGCGGCCGTAGTGCAGGCCGGCGCGGCCGTGTCAGGGCGGCGGGCCGTGGCAGGCCGGCGCGGCCGTGGCAGGGCCCGGACGGCCGTGGCAGCCCGGATCCTGGCCGTGGCAGGGCCGGCCGTGCCGTGTCAAGGGCCCGGACAGCGGCCGTGGCATGTGCCCTGTCTGCTGCCTTGGCAGGGCCCGGCTCGGCCTTGGCAGGGCCCGGCGCGGCCGTGGCAGGGCCCGGCGCGGCCTTGGCAGGGCCCAGGCGCGAGCCTGCGGCAGGGCCACGCGAGGCCGCGGCTAGTGCAGGCAGCGGCCGTCGGCAGGGCCGGCGCGGCCGCGGCAGGGCCCGGCGCGGCCGCGGCAGGGCCCGGCGCGGCCGGGCAGGGCCCGGCGGGCCGCGGCAGGGCCCGGCGCGGCCGCGGCAGGGCCCGGCGCGGCCGTGGCAGGGCCCGGTGCACCTCCCACTACCTCCATACACCATACTGTACTGTAGTATTTTAGTCTTCAGTGAAATAATACTTATATGATAAATAGTTAATATCTTGGGATTTATATCTTGAGTTTATATGTACATCCTAACCTTTGTTATATTCTTCACTTCATTCAAAATTGTTGCAGTTCCTGTGTAATTTGTATTTATATTTTATATATCATACAGTTCATATAAATATAGAAGTGATATCTTATGATGACTTAACCTAGGATATCCCAACACTTCAAATAATTTATTTCCATTGAGGCCTCTTGTATGGAAGTCCATTGATTGATTAAAGAGAGATAATACACACTATTATTATTTACTTTATTTCATTTTATTACATTCACGAGGAGCTTTAAACTCGTAGACTCATAGCAGTTCTAAAGTGGTTAGGAGAAATCAATCAGATTCAGTCGACTGAAGAAATATTAAGTTTTAGTTAGACACAGGTACACACAAGTGCAATTATTGTAATAATAATAATAATATTTATTTCTACAAGTACGTACATGATACAATTTATACAGACCATAGCTGACATCATTGACATACTATATAGAAAGCCCCTGGTTTTGCAGAGCATTTCAGACAAATTAGGTTAATTTTGTTCTAGGATGCGACCACACCAATTGACTAATACCCAGGTACCTATTTTACTGTTAGATGAACATGGACAGCAGGTGTCTTTAGGAAACATACCCAGTGCTTCCACCAGTACCGGAAATTGAACCACGGACCTCAATGTGTGACTTATTTTCGTTGAGGTCCTTGGATGAAAAGCCTTCTCACTGCCATCAAGCAACGTGGTGAATGAGACATGTGTTAGAAATGGGTATCATTATTTATAGGTGGTGTTCAGTCCCATAGTCTTGACAGATAAGAAGATAAGATTTTCTTCGGATTTTTAACCCCAGAGGGTTAGCCACCCAGGATAACTCAGTCAGTGTGTCATCGAGGACTGTCTAACTTATCTGTGGGTTAGTCGACTGTTTTGGGTCATGTCATGGTGGGGTGGGACCCAAAAAAGAAAATCATTGAAAATAAGCCATATTTTTTGGCTTTATTATATATGATATACAAGATTACTAACCCTTCAGGGTTAGTAATCCAAATAAAATCATGGTCTTTTATACAGCCTCTCCTCACTTAGCGACGTACTCGTTTACTGATGCCTAGGACTTATGACGGGCTCTGACCAGTATTTAAACCTAAATAATGTATATTAGAGCTGATTTCCTCTATTCTGTTTATTTCATTATACAGTACACTACTGTATAAACACAAAAATATACCAGAAATCTTATAAATGGTGCAAAGGTGACATTAAAGAACATAAAAGATGGTTGACACAAACCCACTATCATTATAGTATGCTCCTCACTTAGCGACGAATTTGTTTAATGACGTGGTCTTAGGAATGGAACTCCGTCGTTAAGTGAGGAGAGGCTATATTACCTATTTTAACAGGTCACCAACCCTACCACCTGGATTTCTGGCTTGAGTTCTGTTACTATATTGTTGCAGGTTTACATGTAGTTGGTTATTTTTTCTTATTACAATCCTTTTGAGCCTATGAGGCATACATAAACCAGTTGCTTATATCGTCACGTTGGCTAGGAAGAGCAGCAGGCAATGGGAGATGCAAGGTATATGGGGTGGGTAATTTTCTGTACCCTCTCTCATTTTTGGAAACCAATATTTTTAAAATGGGAAAGCCTGGCCAACCCATTTATGTACTATAATAAGGATTTTCTGCTTAGAACCAGTAAAGCATGTGAACTATTGGGAACACCACCTAGTACTTAGAATGTGCTCTCAGGTGATGTAGAGAGGTACCTGAAAATAATTATATAGAATATGCTTGAGGGCTTAGTCCCAAGTCTTTACACTACCATAATGTATTGGAGTGAGATATATATATGAGAGAGAGTGTAAAATAGACCTAATGAAAAGCAGGGGTGCCATGGGCACAATAAGAGAATACTTTCATCATCCATGGTTCAAGATTGTCAACAACCTACTACCAGCAAATATCAGAAATAATCATAGATTTCATGAGGAAACTGAATCACTACCTCTACCAAGTGCCAGATCAGCCAGGTTGTGATGGGTGCATGGGCTAGTGTGGCATTAACAACAGCTTGGTTAAACAAGCAATTAATAATAAAACTTGACCTTGGGCTAGGCTGCAAGGGCAGCAGAACTTGAAACTAGTAAAAAGGATGTCACAAGTATACCAGATCAATACATTTCTGCTTAGCTTTGATGTACAGTATGATTTAGCTTTGATCCATTTGTTTCCTTTGAGGTAGTATTGTATTAGGCACTGACCACTTCTTAATATGTTATAATGTGCATAAACACCTCTGAGAATGCTTGTTTGTTCACAAGATGAGGCATGGTCCTAAATGTTTCTTTTCAGATTTTAAAGGATTTGCCAAACTGCTGGTTTTGAAGGCTCTACAGAAAATCTTTGGAATAATGCAAGTTCTCCGAGTCTTGAAATTTGGATTCATCATGCCCTGCTGTAAAATTATCTTCACCTTTAATGTTAAATAATATGTATACTGTATATTGCATTTGCTTTCCAGAAATGAGACAATTTTTCTTTTAAAAATTTCCTTTGTGGATTCCAGTTCAAACACATATCTTGTTAGCTGTATACTACTTTATATCATTTGTTTAGCACAAAAATCGTGTGGTTCTTAAGATTCTCTACATCCGTTTGGAAATAATTTGTCCTGCTTTTGTATTAAAATTTGCTGACTTTAAAAATGCAGCATTTTTAATTTTAGAATGTTAGCTTTTTTTACATTTTTAGGATTGTCATTGAGACGCTTCAAGATGTTTCCCCTGATCGCAAGTGCTTCCGCATGGTTGGAGGCGTCTTAGTAGAAAGAACTGTGATGGAGGTGTTGCCTGCGCTGCTGAACAATAAAGAACAAGTTAGTGGCTAATTGCATTTATTTTCCTGTTTACATGCTTTACAGCCTCGAAAATTTCCATAGTTCTCCTTTGGCTCCTGAAAACCTCTGAAGGTAGGATTATTCAATATTCATTCAGGATGAGATTAAATCATGTATGCTGTTGAAGCTCTAGGCGATTTTTTTTTCGACTTACGATGGGGTTATGTTCCAATGACCCCATTGTTGTATATATCGTAAGTTGAATATGATTTGATAAATAAATAAATAATTTCTCTGACTAAAGTAAATAAAAATAATTACTGTAACTAAATACCAGTATTGAAAAGTAAATGAATAAAAGTTTATGCTATCAATAAATGACGACTACTAAATGTGCATCGCCAACGCACCGTCATAAAGTCGAAAGATTATAAGTCATACCATCGTAAAGCAGTGACCAGCTGTATTCTGAGGTCATCTGCTGCTTGAGGTTGTGGAGTTGGTCATTTATTCTTCATTTCTGTCAGGTGTACATGAATGGTATACAGTACCGTTAAGATGATAATTAGACGTGTAACATCTGAGTATCTTTATTGCAGACAGTTCACCATCCAGTGGCTTTATCAGTACAAATTCAATGACATAATTGGAAGACAGTAGAACTACATTATACATATGATGAGGTTATCAGTCCCTCAGCCTTGGAGTTGAAGAGCACTGTAATCATGAAGAGTCTGTCAGGTGTTTTATCATATACCATTTGGTCACCCTGTTGCCATTTGAGGTAATGGAAGCAACTGTGAATTGTCACTGGCAGATTGTAAGACTGATAGTTGTATATTGTCCTGGGACTGATGGCACAGATTCCATGTTTCTTGACAAATCTGTTTTTCCATTGAATCCAGAACAGTCTTTAAATATGTGAGTTCCAGGAGCTAATAGATTTGAATAATTTTGAGAATGTGTTCTCTCTCACTCTGTTGGTGGCCATATATTGAACTTAGTTCTCTCTACTGCTAATTCTCTTAGCATTAAAAAGGTTGAGGTAATACCTCTTGCTATTGCTGTGTCTGATCATAGTGTTGTTACTTTGTCGGGTTATTTCGGTTCTGCCATCTTGTGAATGTATGCTGTCTTTCTGTAATTATAGAAAACTTAAACAAATTACCCGCACATAGGAAAAAGGAATTTATGACAGCACTTCGATCCAACTTGGACCATTAACTAGTTAATGGCCCAGGTTGGACAAAAATGTTGTCATGAATTATTTGTGTATTGTTCCAGTCATGATATTGTGCCTTTTTATTCTTTATAGAAACCTTGGTCTGAAAAAGGTTAGTGTCATGATGACAAATGGCTTTGGTGAGGTGGATACATCTGCACTGTCTGTAGATCAAGTATCAATGATTCAAGATGAGGTGTTTATGGCTGTGGCTGGTAAGTTCTCATCTTTGATCACTAAAGGATCTTAAAGAACAAAAAGGCACAATACCATGACTGGAACAATATGTAGTCATAAGTTTTTTCTGTGTATGGATTATTTGTGTGTCTAGAAGGATCTTGTTTCATAACATTGCCCCTTGGTATGATTCCTCTTGTCCAGCTGCATAGGCCTCAAAGGAGTGCAGGACATTGATGGCATAGATTGTGTACTTCTGTATCATGGTGTGATGATGTAAAAAGCCTTAGAGCAGCCATGACCACGATATCAGCTCACAAGGTGGAAAACTTCAGGAAAAAAAACTGAATCTTGTCAGGGAAATCAGATTCTTGCTTGCCCATCTGAGTGATCTACTTAATCTGAATGCTCTTTGCTTATCTCTGATTCTGCTTTTCAGCTGGACATGGCATTCTCTGATTATTGTGGTCATAAAATAGAGAATAGTTTTTGGACTTGAATTCAACTCAAATAGGTGCAGTTCTTTTATTGTTCTGGCTCATGACTTATCACGGATTACTTCTTTTCAGTTTTCTCCAGATACCGAGGAAAGGTGGTTCCAGGGTATATCTTTGGTTTTAATATACATATTATGCATTAGATCCTATAAATATCTCAAAGATTTTTGCCCTCGTATGACAAAGCTGGTGTTTTCCACAGTCAGTGAAGGGGGCTTTGGCTTGCCCACTTCTCCAGAGGCCTTTTCCTATACAGTATTCAGAAAACATGTCAAACTATTTCTGATCTAAAGTTCCCATATAAAGTGATTGAATGTGCTCTTTTTTTAATTATTGTTTTTCTTTTTTAGACTGGAGTAATATTTTGTTGTATATTCAGTCTGCACGTAAACCATTTCATTTAACTTAAACGGGTTTGTGTAAAATTGTTAATTGACATTAAACACTTGTTTAGGAAATTTCATTGCAAATTTTATTGGCGCTCTTGGCTACATTTGACAACATTGATCGTGGACAGGGGTGAACCTACTATGAAACTAATGAAGCTTAATAACCTTCAGTGGCCCCTAAACCTGGAGGAGCTCCATAAGTGACTTTAGTCCACATTGCTTAAAAATTTTGGGTCATCTGTATGAGAAGGGGTTTTTCAGAATAAAATTAATATAATGTATTTCAATACAAAATAATAGTTAAAGGTTATTAAAGTGTCATGTAGGCTAGCCATTGCTAGTTTTGGAGGAGCCCCCATAACAGTTCAAGCTTCAGGGCCCCAAAAATGTAGGTCTGCCACTGATCATAGATTACCAGTAAGTGATTTTTTTCAACTGTGGCCTTAAGGATACTGCATTGTTGCTTTTGAACTCTTAAACTATTTGGTGAGATGCATCAACTACAGTAGGACCCTGTATCCATGGGGGATGCATTCCAAGACCTACCGCAGATAGTAGTGAACCCTAATTTGAATAATTTGTCGTTTATGTACATTCCTATGATAGCTTAATTAATAAATTATGCACAGTTAGTCGAGAATTAGCACTTTTTAAACTGATTGAGAGTCACTTCATGACTTCTCTTAGGTTTTGAAGAACTGTCACCATTACTACTTTTGCACTTTGGTGTCATTATTAAGCAAAATTAAGGGTTATTTCCTGGCCAGGATAAACAGTGGATAATTGAACCCACGGAAACAGGACCCATGAATACAGCGGTCCTACTGCAGTAGTTAATGACTCCGTATCATCTAGGCCATCTCCTTTGTCCTGTGGCATTACTAAAGTTTTTTTTTTTTTTTTTTTTTTTGACAATGTTTAGTGTTTGGTAGTGGCTTAGCCTTGTTTGTGGATGCCTGTCGGGTTGATTATCATTTGTATGCAAACAATACACAAGTCTGTATCTAGGTTCTCAATGTGAAGGATGCAAGACTCTTGTTTTAGTTTTCTTTTGTTGGATGTTCAGACTTAGATGATGTGGTAAATTGCAACTAAATGAGGATAAGTCAGATTTTGCTTGTTAGCAGAAAGCTCATGTGAGTACAGATTGTCAAGAGAAACCTCAGGTGAGTACAGATTGTCAGGAGAAACCTCAGGCGAGTGCGGATTGTCAGGAGAAGTTTCGGGTGAGTACGGATTATCAGGAGAGGTCTCAGGTGAGTACGGATTGTCAGGAGAAGTCTCACATGAGTACAAATTAAAAATTTTGGTGCCTTTTATTGTGGTATAGTCAATGTACAGCCTTTAAAATCACCGAGGGATCTATGTCATTTTTGTATTGGACACACATCATTTATTGGATACACAAACTAAATTGTTAAATCTTGCCATTTTTCTCATTTGTAATCTCTGTGAAGTTGGAAAATATCTTGATAAGCAGAGTATCCTGGTTTTTATCCATGCTTATGCTTTCTCTCAAATTGATTTTTACATTTGTTTGCCTAAATACGTACAGTACTTGTTAATAATTCTTTAGTTTTTACTGAATAGTGCAACTAGACTGGTATCTTCACTCCCAGCTGTGGTTCCACTAATGTCTATATGTATGAGCTCCAAAAGCTTCCTGTCAAGGGTTTTCTGTAGACTGAAATCCAATTTTTGTCATTTCATGCAAAATGAAATATCAAGAAAGGCTAATCAATTAAATTGTTCCTCCTCCATGGTGAAGTTAATGTAGGGTTCCACAGAGTTGTAAATTTTTGTAAGTGCAGTGGTGTCCAGATGTCTAGGAACAATTACCAGGATGTCAACCACATAACATAACCAAGTTGCATCTCTACAGCCTATCATGGCTTCACTTGAATGTACAGTTTATATTGGTGATATAATTGCTTGGTAATGCCTGGTAATGATGTCCTGTGGCCTGGTAGGCAGTGCTCTGGTCTCACACGTTGAGTGTCTGTGGTTCAGTTCCTGGCAAGGGTGAAAGCATTGGGCGTGGTTCCTTACACCTGCAGTTCACATTCACCTAGCAGTAAGTAGGTACCTAGGTGTTAGTCATCAGGTGTAGGTCACATCCTGGGAAACAAGATTGAAGGATCACAATAGAAATACTACACAGTCCTTGAGGACGCACTGATTTTCTCGGGCTATCCTGGGTGGCTAACCCTCTGGGCTAAAAATCTTAACAAAATCTTATCTTACCTTACTTTGGTCCTCTAACACTATTTATAAGGACTAATTATAATCCTGTATTACAATTGTTTCAAGATGTAATACTCCACAAAACAAGGAAATAAATCACATTGTTTGACTTTACTGGGTTACCTTGGGTTAAATCTACTTAGTATCCTTTGTAGCTGAATTGTTAGGTAAGACACATATGCAACGGTTAGGTATCATTATTTCGAAATGTTTCTCCTACACAGTAGGCTTCTTCAGTCGAGTACAGAAAAGTTGATAGAAGCAGAAGAGACGTGAAGACGATGTAATCAGTCCATCACCCTTGAAGTTTTGAGGTGGTCAGTCCTTCAGTCTGGAGAAGAGTATTGTTCCATAGTCTGAAACAATATGGAGTTGAAGTGACAGAATGGAGCCTTATATACCGCCAGGAGGTGAGATGTAGGCCACTAGTAGAGGTAAGAATATAGTCGTTGGGAGGTCACGTCCCTCTCAAATCCAGCCATTCTCACTAGTAGAAGTTGTCCAAGTTGT